GTAATCTCCATGTTGATCCTGTCGTCCCCCCCATCCTCTGCTGTACCATATCCTCTGCCCTCTTCCCCATCGCTATCCAGTGCTCCCACTCTCTTCCTCCCCCCACTTTTACTATTTCTAGTCTCCGTGTCATCCTTGGGCCTCCAGCCGTCCTTCTGCCGCCCTCGTTGGTACCGGCAGTTCGTTTCACGGCAGGGGGATTGCTAACAAAGAATTAAGGGAGAACTGGAATAGCCATTTCGAACTTTTTAGTTCTTTTCAACCAGACATACCCTTCTGAGATTCGAACCTGGGCTGTCTGCATGTTAAAAAAACAAATAAACACGAACACCAGGAAAAATTTTAAACTAAAAACGTTTAATCTTTCGTCAGCCAACTATCGACATCATCAGGGCTTAAAACAGGTTGATGGGAGTCTCCTTTATAGTGTTGGTGAGTTTTTGCACACGGCTCCTGGACCTCATCATTGGTCCACTCAATAGTCCTAATTGGTTAGATTGTGTATTGGCTGCTTTCTTGATGTTATTTGAGGCTGCTGCTCCATTATTTGCTTCCCTTCCTCCACTCTCCCCCTTTGTGCGTGTGTTGTTATCTATCCCCCCACCACAGCCTCCTGAGATCCATATAATCCTTCCCCCCCTTTTTTGGCCATTCATTTCTTCCCTATGTATCCAGTTGTTCCCTCTCGCCCTGTTGGGCTGTGGGTTTGATGTTTTCTCCCCGTCTTTTCCTCCCATCGTCCTTCCCATACCTCCATAGCCATGTCCTGCGTATGTATCACCTCCTATGGTCTCCACCCCCTTCCTCCTCTTTGATGTTCATTTCATTTGCGTCGCTCTGATCATCGCACTGCAACCTTCGTCTTGATCCGTTTCTTTCACCTAATGCAGATTGTGTACGTTCCCTCCTCACGGGGGTGTTATTGCATTGTATGTTTGATCTTGTCCCCCTAAAGGACTATCTGTAAACACCACAGAAATGGAGGAATACCACCCACAACTTAACTACAAACTTATACTTGGAAAAAATCCTAGAGGCTACTGAGCTGATAAATTCCAGACTGAAAGATAAAGGCGCCACCTTAAAGCTACAAAATGCACCCCAGACTTCAACCGATGAACTTACAACTCAAAAGGCAACAGAAGAAGGAATTAACACTAAAGTGGACTTTAAAGAATACCAGCTACAACCTCCTCAGAACCCTGATACCCAAATCTTGATTTCATCTAAAAAAATCTGCAATTCTAACAGCAACAGAAACTGAAGAAAGCAACACTAAGACAGAAGATGCTGAAGACTTACATACACAATGCACTGAGAATTTAGATAACCCAGAAAACCAAACAACAACTACAACATTGAATATGACTTTTTATTTAAACCAACTAAAACCAGAAGAAGAAGAAGAAGAAGGCCAGCCTGAACTCACGACAAATATACTAAGCCAAATATGGAGACTCAAATTATTAGGCCAACAATCTAATGACTATGAAGGGACTAGCTTCCTTGAAAACTCGATAACTGGATCCCTTGATTCAAATGATAATGCAGGAATGAAGTGAGATCCTCCTGAGGATTTAAAGGCACTGCTATGGAAGCCTGTTTGGCACAAAAGGAAGGCCAGAGTTAGATTTTAAAAATGTTTTTTTTTATGTGACCTTTAATGGAAGAGCCTAAAATTTCACTTAATGGGCTAAGGAGATTCTAAAAGACATTAATTGATTTAATATTTAAGATTTAGACCTATAAAAAATAGTTACTAGAATAATAGTTTTGAATTATAATATAGAAGATGGATTCAGATGATAAAGGTTATTTCATTAGTAAGTGATGATATTAGGATGAGAAGTAGAATATGATTGTGAAATAAAGTAAGAATTTATCTGAATAAATAATAAGTGTATTTTAGATATGATAACTATTTTGTAATGAACTAAGGGAACCGTAGGCTATCCAAAACCTAAATACTATGGACATTAAACCAACTGGAATACTGTAACTGAAATCAGATAAAAGTTAAAAACAGGATATGGAGGCGTATAAGTAAAAAGATATTGATAAATGTTTCAGTTGATTGAGTTATAACTAGCAATGTATTGATTTGAATGTGATATAATAACCAAGGGAAACAGAGAGGAAATTTTTGATGATGTAACCTGACATATGTATGAAAGAGCTTGTTATTGGACTATGGATTATCCAATCACCATGTTGCTTCCTTAATACCTGGAGCTTTGTAGAATTGGAAAATTAATAAAACTTGTTTAAAAATAATAATAATAATAATTTTTCTTATAAAATTAGGAACTTGATAAGTAATCCCATATATTTTTATGAGGTACCAGTAGCCTGGTACTATATAGAAACCTGATAGTAAAAAAAACCTGTTAGAATTATTTTTAATTTATTTATTTTTTTGTAATTTTTTATTGATTTTCTAATATTACATTTAAATATTTGAAAGCAATGTGGCGGCTGGGTACAATAATTCTATTACACATAGATATCATTAGTACAGATCTCAAACTTTTACAATCCCCATTCCCTCTCTTTCTCCCTTAATATCTACTGTCTCATATTTTAACTAATACAATTCTTGTTCTATCAATCAAATAGAAAGTAACTTTCTAATATTTATCAATAATTTTAGTTGATATATATCTTAGTTGTTTTAACTTTCAGTCTTTAGACAATCAATGATCTAATCGATTTTTCTCAATTTTAATTTTCCATTAATCTTTAAATTTAATGCTTAATAATGATCATTTCCACAATTTAGATGACCGCAATTCCTTTATCACCATTCCTCCCAAAGTCAGGATACACATCTTATCTATATAAGTTCTCACCATCTACATCAACAAGTTAATAATGCAATAATAGTATTCTTATTTTCTAATAATTCTGAAGTACATTGAATTCTTAAATTTAATAACCAAAATTTCCTTTATTTCCACATTTAATACTTTCTCTCTCTTCCTCTTTATATCTACTGTCTCATATTTAGAACTAATAATTTTTCCCCTCTTACTGCTACATAAAGACATATTTATTACTTTCATCAATAAGGTTTTAACTTATATATTTCTTAATCATCTTTACACAATCTTTATGCGCAAGTCAATATTCCAATTAACTTATTAATATTTTAGCTTCTGATATTTTAGCTTCTTGTCTGGTTAAGTATATTCTATTTTAAGCTCTCATAATATCCATCTTATCTATTTAAGTATAGTCTATTTTAAATCTCATCTATAAATCAAAACCCCATTCTTTTTCAGTCTTATTCTAGTTTTTTTTCTTTCTTTGCCAAATCATCTTCCATGTCCTTGCTTTGAGGTCATCGAGCAGATCTCCTTGGGTTGTTATATCTATTATTTGACTTTGAAATAACCATCCAGTTGCCATTTTTAAAGAGGGCTAGCAGATCCAGCAGGTCTTTTCTTTGTCTTTCCATTTCCTGAACTGTTTATCTTCTCTTCCATCTGTTTTCCTTTTAGATCCTCAGGCTCCTTCTGCTTTAAATAGGAAGTCTTTGCCTCTTTCTCTTTTGTCAATTTCTTTTCTGTATTTTCCATTGTCTGTATTTGTTGAGCAGCTGAGTCTTCTGTCATGATATTTAATTGTTCCACTTTTTCTGTATTATACTGCATAGATGATTCTTTAGTTATAGTCATAATTTGCTTTTGCATGTCCAGGCTGTCTTCTTGTTTCTTATTTCATTACCAGCTGTAATTAAGGTTTGAAGAATCTCTTTCAACAGACAAAGAGTTTGGTCCTGCTCTTCTTCCATAAGGAAGATCCATTTCTGATCTTCCCCCATAATAGTATATTTAAACTAAAATACTTTTCATTCAAGAAATCCACTCAATAAAGAGCACAGCTGCACTTCTCAAGGTTACATGTATCTCTACTTTCTGGGCTGTCAGCCAAGTCTCTTTTACACAATAACAGATTGCAATATCAAGTTTAGCCACAAGATGTCTTTCCAAAGTTATTTTAATCTTTTCAGTTTTTTCCTCTATTTTAAAAGAAAAAACCCACATCTTCCATAAAAATAGGGAAGAAAAATGGAAGAAAAATAGGAAATAGAAAATAAAGAGTCTTTTAATCCACAAATTCTAAGAAATAGATTCCCAATTAGGATCCAGTTATCTTTTCACTGTTTTAAACTCCCCTGGATAGTCAGTCACCACTATGTCTGGAGGGAGGGCTGAAATCTCCCTTCCCTCTCCACAGGGGAGAAAGTACTTTAGCAGCTTGTGTAGGTACAGAAAGTAATTAGGATTTAAGAGAGGTAGTCCTCACCCAGTCCTTTCCATGCTGCTTTGAAGTTGCCAGATGGTGAGTGTGGCTTTGACTGTCTGTAGCCTAGTGATGAACCATATCTCTATGGCCGGTCTTTCGTCTGCCAGTTTGGAGGGATCGTCAGCTTCAGCTGGAGAGCTACCCTCCTTGCTGGTCGCCTCTACGGGGTGACTTTTGACCATTTTCAGGGTCCCCCAGTGATGCAAAACTGGACAGGGGAGACGGAATTTGTCTCCCAGGCGTCCATGGCGGCCGCGCGGCAAACCGGAAGTCAGATTTTTTAAAATTTAATCAACATGCTTTGTGAAGATAAATATGCAAAATTATTAAAACATTTTGTTATAAGTGTACCTGTCACAGTTTCCATTGGTGATACAACGCAAATGATTAGCACCTCCATCAGCACATGCTCTCAGAACTGCTGAAAAAAAGGATGTTGCTGTCAAAAGGCTGTCATCATAACCAAATAACAAATTTATAAACATACAAATATTATTTTGCAACATGTGAACTTCAAATATTTTCATTTTTTTTACATAGTAATAATAATAATAATAATAATAATAATAATAATAATAATAATAATAATAATAATAATAATAATAATAATAATAATAATATTAATAAAGTTGGAAGGGACCTTGGAGGTCATCTAGTCCAACCCCCTGCTCAGGCAGGAAACCCTATACCATTTCAGACAAATGGTTGTCCAGTCTCTTCTTAAAAACTTCCAGTGTTGGAGCATTCACCACTTCTGCAGGCAGGTTGTTTCACTTGGTAATGGTTCTAACTGTCAGGAAGTTTCTCCTTAGTTCTAGGTTGCTTCTCTTCTTGATTAGTTTCCATCTGTTGCTTCTTGTCCTGCCCTCAGGTGCCTTGGAAAATAGCTTGACTCCCTCTTCTTTGTGGCAGCCCCTGAGATATTGGAATACTGCTATCATGTCCCCCCTCGTCCTTCTCTTCATTAAACTAGACATACCCAATTCCAGCAGCCTTTTCTTATATGCTTTGGCCTCCAGTCCCCTGATAATCTTTGTTGCTCTTCTCTGTACTCTAGAGTCTCAACATCTTTTTTACATTGTGGTGACCAAAACTGAATGCAGTATTCCAAGTGTGGCCTTACTAAGACATTGTAAAGTGTTATTAATACTTCACATGATCTTGATTCTATCCCTCTGTTAATGCAGCCCAGCACTGTGTTGGCCTTTTTGGCAGCTGCAGCACACTGCTGGCTCCTATTTAAGTGATTGTCCACTAGGACTCCGAGGTCCCTCTCACAGTTACTACTATTGAGCAAGGTACCCCCTATACTATACCTGTACATTTGGTTTTTCTTGCCTAAATGTAGAACCTTACTTTTTTCACCATTGAATTTCATTTTGTTAGATAGCGCCCAGTGTTCAAGTCTGTCCACATCCTCCTGTATCCTAAGCCTGTCTTCTGGAGTGTTGGCTATTCCTAAGCCTGTCTTCTGGAGTGTTGGCTAGTAACTAATTGCTTCTGTTCCTGGTAGTTGAATTTAACTACCATTAAATATAACTTCATTGTTGTATCTTGTTTGACAGTTTTAGGCCTTTGAAAAATGTCTGCAACATCCATTAGGGTAGACTAATCACTGATACAAAATACTGTGATTAAATTATCCCCCTGCTAAAAAAATATCTGTTTTAATTCTAAACTCTTTTCTAGGAACAAATAAGTGAACTATGTCTCATATAAGTAGGCATTCAGAGCTGCAAGAGTTTCTTCCCAAACCCTTTTTCCTACTTGATCTTTCTACTGGACTTTCTCCTAAATTCTTTTCAAACTCACACTCCCAACTTTCTGCCTTAAAAGAACAGTGTATCACCTTGCCACTCTTTTTTGTAAATGCACCACACTGGAAGTTTTTAAGAAGAAACTGGACAGCCATTTGTCCAAAATGGTATAGGGTTTCCTGCCTGAGCAGGGGGTTGGACTAGATGACCTCCAAGGTCCCTTCCAACTTTATCATCATCATCATCATCATCATCATCATCATCATCATCATCATTATTATTATTATTATTATTATTACTAATATCAATACTATTTTAGACAAGAAAGCAGTAACTAACATTTAAGGTACCCAAGGTATTTTTTCATGATATTCACCATATTGTATTCAATTCTTGAAATTGAATTCCTTTTCTTATTGTCCCTGAACCCTTCTTTCTATTGGCCAAATTTCTAAGATTAACTGTCATTGTGAACCATCTGAATAGCAAACTCAAAATCAAGGAATCTTCAAGGCTTTGAAGTGCCATAAAAGATAAACTTTTTTGAATATACATCTCGGAACTGAAGAAGCAAGATCAGCTCTAGTTTTTCCATGCAAAAATCTGCCTAGTTAACAATAGCTTCCCTTAACCCCCACCCACCAGTTGTTCACGTTGCCCAATCATATCTCTTTGTTTTGTTATGAGAACAGTTCATTTCTCCATCAGACATCTGCGTTAGTGACCTTGCCATTCTTGTAGGCTCTCATGGTCTGTGGATGGCTTCATGGAATCCTGTTTCCTCCCTATGCTTTCCCCCCTTTCTATGCCAAGTTAAATAGTGATAGTAGTTAGCAGGCATCTTAGCGATTCAACCTTAATATTAACATTTCACCAACTGCAACTGAATATGCTGGGATTATGTTATAATTAATTAATAAATACATGCATAAATAAATGCATATAAAATTAGTCATTTACACTTTAGCTAATAGTTTTGTAATTTTGTAATTTGTTAATAGATGCTTAAAAATACACAGCCATAAAGAGCAGTAAGAATTTCTTTCTTTTTCAGAATAGGAAAAATAAAAATTTGCCAAAATGTTTTGGCAGTTTCATGACCTTTTCACATTGTTCAGCATTCTACCATTTAAACATTCTGCCATTAAGATTTTCATTTCTGTATTTAACGTATATTTAAATTATTAACCCTGGCTAAATACTCTTGAAAACTGTGCATTGTCCTCTACCTATATAATAATCATTCTTCCTTGATTTTTTTTTTTGAGATTGTTTTGGAAGGACTAGGCATAAATTTGGAAGCAGTTAAGCATCACTCATCAAGGGCAATTAAAATTTTCTTTTACATTAACAGGCTTTTCAAGTTATCTCCTGCATATTCACTCGTAGCATTTCAATCATTCTGCACTTAAAGTTATTTTAAAAATATACAAAGCACTGATCTTTAGTAGCAAATTAATGATTCACACCAACACAACCCATAGAAAGATGTTTTCAGTTATGTGTAAAGCAATTATATGACAAGCAAAGGGGAATCAGTAACTTCTACAAGCTATGGAACAAAGTACAATCTTATTATTTAACTGATAAATATATAAAGATGTTTGCATCATTTAACATTGCTGTTGGAATAATAGTTTTAAATTTCAAATGCAAATGCACAAAAATGATCTAGGGAGAAAAGAACAATCAAATGCTAAAAGTGTTTTTTTTTTTTAGAGTTGCAAGAATGAAATAACATCATGGTATTGATAATGAGCTTAATAGTAGCTCTGCCAATGTCTAAGAACATTGTAATACTTCATAATGTGCATGATTACTGCTCAGCACAATACTGTAGCAACTTACAACTATACTTGAAGAAAGTGAAATGTTAAATCTCTAATTTGTTTTCACACTTGGAGATTAAATTAAATTAAAGGGAAAAAACTCCATTCCACCATTTTCTATAGGTAAATCAGACATAACTGTCACAAAATTTGAGATATTGCAGAAACAGAAAGCATATTCATTTACTTAAACTAAAAAATGGAATATAATAAAATTATAATTTGAAATACCAAGTTAGATTAATCCCCAAATATCCTATATTATAGTAGCTTATTTGGATGAGTCAAGTTACAGCATTGTATCTACAAAGAAACACAGCAACATGAAGCCACTCTTCTTAAACCTGAAGATACTGAGTTTCCCATTAACTATATATTGTGCAAAAAAAAAGTTTTTAACAATGAAATGACAGTTTGTTTTTAGAAATACTGAAAAAATGAAGTACATATTATTAGCTATTAACTGGGATTATGTCATCTGTATGTTTAATATAGATGTACCTTCACAGGACCTGAGTAAACAGTCTAGACCAAGGGTTCCCAACTGGGGGTGGGAGATGATATTCCAGGGGGTGCGAAAACTTGGATTTAGAAGTTTTAAAACTATAGTGTATCTGCATAATTCATTATTTCAAACTTTTGTAAGGGGTACGAGAATATATCAGAAGCATTCTAGGGGTGCAAGGCACAGAAAAGTTTGGGAACCGCTGGTCTAGACTGAACCAACAAAATGAGAAACTTCAATCCCCCCCAAAAAAGGGCTGTATCCAACCTGAGCATAGTAAGAAACAGAGGAAAAAGCAAGGGGTCTAGAGACAACTCTAGTCATTCTCAGACTCAAACAATAAAATGGGGAAACCCAATTAAAAGAAGAAGACTGCAACCAAACTGAACATAATAAGGAACAATTAACTAAAACAGAAAATGAACTTTTAGAGATAGACTGTTGGTGACAGGTCACTCATAGAAGGAAAAAAAATCTACAACAACAAACCTATCTAAGCAGCAAAGTCCAAAAACAAAATTTCATTTTTTCCACCTTTGTCCCAAAGCAGTTTCCAAGTAAAAACAAAATTAATTTTATTCTTTTGTTTAATTAGAACATTCAATTTTGCCATCTCTGCTAACTCTTTCAAATTTTACAGCCATTCGTCCATTGTGGGAATCAAAGTTGAAAAGGGTGGTGCCTTATTTGGCTGCAGCTGCATTGGCTCTTGATGGTGAAAAGTTTTTAGAGGGATATAAGGGATTCATGGATTGGAAGGTTTTGATGTGTTTGCGCAAGGTAGTCTGACTAAGTTATGACTATCAGTCTTTACTGGCATGGTGAGTTTTTAGCTATTTTGGAACTGTTGGTGAGACCATTAAAACTCATTTGTGTTGTTTGGAATTGTACTGCCAGCAGCAAGTTCTAACTGCTGACACAGCGATGGGTTCTCTTACCAAGGCTGTTTTCAAAGGAGACAGAGATGGAGAAGTCCTGAGGTTTATGGAGTGAACGAACTGGATGTGACTGTTGGCAGGTCCAGAAAAGGGGAGCGGGGTTTTTAGAGCAGCAGGGAGGAAAAAGTGGAAGAGTTGTGATCGAAAAAGAAGAAAAAGAAAACAATGAGTGGTTGTCATGCAGGGATACCAGCTAAATTGAGGGCTAATCCATATGGTGCACCACTCCCAGCTGTCTTGTTTGTTAACATTTGCTCCTTAGAGACTAAGATGGATGATTTGAATCTTGAACTAACCACAAACAGGGAGATGAGAGACTGCTATGTTATAACCTTGACAGAGACATGGTTAAAGTCATCTATTCTGGACAATGCATCAGTATGATGGATTTT